CGACTGCTGTCGAAGAATTTTTATGGCGTCTCCACAAATAAACCAATCTGGGAATGGAAGGGCAAGAGCCACGCCAAAACCAGCAGTTGGTAGTCGAGGGATTTTTTGGGGGAAATTTTTAAAGGCAACCTCATACCGTTGCTCATGAGGAACAGAAGAGGGAATCTTTAAACTATCCAATTTTTTAGAAAACTTTTCTTTCAAAGTAACAGCAGCCTCACGGATGGTTCGACTAACATCATCTGGTCGATAGGCAGTTTCGAAGTACTTCTGGAAGGCTTGGATCTCTTTGATATGGGTAGACGTACCTTTCTTGATCTTCTCCTGCACATCAACGAAAGCTTGGTCAATCAAGCGGGCAAAACTGGAAGCGTCAAGAAATTCTGAGGCGTAATGTTTTGACCACCAGTCGTAGAAGTCTTGGGAGCAGAAATAAGAAGGTTCAAAGTGGAAAGGTGTAAGAAAATACTTATGGGCGTGGCGCGCCAATTGTGTCGAACAGTCAAAGGGAGATAGCACCGCTAAAGAAAGTATGATATGTGATTTCTTGTCATATAGGCACTTAGGCAAAGTCTGTATCAACCCAAATTGCCTAGACACCAAGTTTGGTTGGTAGGCTACTAAGCTGGAGTGACCTCTAACAAGGTTTAACTTATGAACCAGTAGTCGAGGAATGAGGAATCGTTCCCAAATCAGTTTCGACTCCTCTTCTTGTTTCTGTAGGGGAGCAGGGAAGGGTCTGGTAAACCACTCTGGGCCGCATCTTCGTTCTGCAAAAGGAGCCATCTTCGAGGTGAACTCGTACCATTTTACGAACATGTGAATGAAGCTGGATAAGTTGGATTGAAGAGTATGTCCTTCTTCGCTAGGAGTAAGTTGGGCCAAGCGAGGCCATTCGACTCTTCTCTCAGAGACTGTAGACGAACCTTCATCGACTTCGCCTCTGTTGGGGAGATTATGTTCAAAAGTGGCATTAAGCCACAACTGGAGGAGCCAAAAGGGGCCTGACAACAACAAGTTGCCATGGCTTACAGGGTCTTTCAATTTTCTAGCACCTTCGCCCAGGGCCTCATAAAGACTGGCCAGAATCATCTCACTTAGGAAAATGCCTCTCTTCAGGTGCAGTTGGTTGGCCAAAACCAGATATTTTCGGGCCACTTGCAAGGACTTTGTACAAAATACACAACAAGATAACCACATGGCCAGAAAGGCTATATGTTCCTCATCATCAACTGAGGTGTTGGTTTTATTATGATAATGTTGGACAAAAGCTGTGTAAGTATGTTTGATATTGACGAAACCGATGGTGTCGTGGCTATCAATCTCAGGATCGTAAACAAGGCCGTAGGGTTTTAAGCCCACAATGGCGGCTACATCAAGTAATGTGGGTGTCATCATCCCACAAGGGAGGTGGAAAGTATTGTGAGTTCTATCCCAGAAAAATAACGAAGAAGCCAGCATAAGGGGGCAGTAAGTAGGGCCTACCTTCGACATCATTATCAGATCATAAATCCCAGTGTCCTTCCAATCTTGGGCTTTCACTTTCTCTATCTTTGCCAGCCAATTGAGGTAAAGTTCAGAATCTTTAAAGTAGGGGGTATCCCTAAATAACCTAGCCCCATCATGGAGATACTTAAGATCTACGTCGAAGAGGGTTAGGCTATCAGTACCATTAGCGGGGATTTTGCTAGAATCTTTTTACCCTAAGGGTTTAGTGACTCTATAGGAGGGGAAGAAGTCTTTAATGGCGGAATAGTCAAGACCTAGAGGGGGTAAAGGGCCAGACATGGCCAAAGGTTTACCTACAACAGTAACGAGAATGATTACCTGCGATTCATAAATGTGGCGTTTCTCTTCTGTCAAGGGTTCACGAATGAACTGTTGGTTCTTCACTACCTGGGGACGCTCAAGCTAGAAAAGGGAGGAAGAGTTGATGCAGAGGTTTTTCCTTTGAGTTGCATTTTCTTCTTTTGATGATCAGCCATTTTTGAAGGAAGTAAAAAGTTTGTTGGTTGGGAAGCAGAAGATTAGAGGAAGAAAAAAGCAAGATGTTGTTAAGAGTCAGAGAAGTTGGAAAAATGAAAATATCAGGGGAGAATTACTTATATAGTGTATGGAAGGTTAAAGGTTTTTCATCATTGAGGGGCTAGAGTTAGTGGGCCACGTGTGCGCTTGGATGTAGGATGGCAGAGGTAGCAGTTGCAATTCACGTCCCAGAGGTTGAAAAGGTGATGATGGCCCACGATTTTGGTGGTTCCCGAGAAAATCGCCATGATGAAAGTGACGTCAGAAACGTGCATCAAGGTGGCGGAACAGTAGCTTTCGTGTTCCTCTCTATATTTTTTTCTTGCTTCTCTTCCTTCCCTTTCACCTTCCCAGACTTGCATTGGTTGAAAGGAGATCAGACAAAATGTATGAGGACAAGCGGCGTTGAAGGTCAGACGCTGTCAAAAAATGTGCTTTTCCACATTTGAAGTCGAAAAGGCATTTTTGGGGGGCAATTTGTTAGCTCCTAATTTCGACGCCCCGTTTAGAAGAAAGGAATTCAAGATAAAAGGCCAAGGATAAGTTGAGAACGAAAGATTGGTCAAAAGATGTAAAGCAACCAAAAGAAGAAGTCGAAGAACTCACCCAGAAGCTAGGAGTTCGACCGCTTGCTGTTGTGGATGGTTCGTCGAAGGATTTGAAATTCAAAAGTTAGAGGGAATAGTTTTGTTTGCTAGATACTTAAAGAAGACACGTGGCACCTTATGAGCAGTAGATCCATGCATTTGTGACAAGTGGCGAGAGGAGGTGATGTTGGAGGTTATTAGAAGTTATTTTTTACTACTATAAATAGGATGTCTTAGACATAGCCAAAGTGTGTTGTAATTTACCATTGTACGAATTACTCTTAGAATTACTCCAAGTATCCGAGCGTAGAGAAAGCGAGTATTATAGAGAATGTACGTGATGTAAACACACCATCTTTTACCTTAATGAAATTTACTTTATTTTGCTTTAAACTTTACAAAGTTTTTATTGTCTTTGCACCTTTCTTCCTTACTCTCTTCCTTTCTCCTATTTTCTTATGCAATTTCCTTCTCTTCGCCCTCAATCTAATTTCCCCTCTCTAAACAAACTTTCTTCTTTCTTTTATTGAAGACTTTATTTTATCTTTTAAGTTATTCCGTAGTCGAATAGATGTTTCTTTAAGATTCCTTTACCCCCAATACTGTTCGAGTGTGGAACTTAGATAGATTTTCATAACAAAAGCCTTTAGCACATGTCCTAGGATTAATCTGATCGATCCTGTGAGTCAACAAAATTAGATTTGGAAGATCAGCGGTTGTTTTCCAATTTTCAAGGAAAACAGTTATATGAATATAATGTGGCTTATTGAATTTTATACTATTATCAAATGTTATATTGTGTTGATAAATTTTATTAGATACCATATGATGTCATTTAATATAGATGTTATAAATAACTATGATTTTATTGAGTTATGTTAATTTTTTTTAACCGGAAAGAATAATAAAAAAGTTATCTTTTTATTTGAAATACAACTCAAGAGTCCAACTCAACCCAACCCATAATAAAAAAGTTATTTTTTATTTGAAATACAACTCAACCCAACCCATAACCAAACAGATCGATATAATAAATTTTGTGAGTGGACGACAAACCCAACTCATTAAAATTTGAATAAATTAAATAACGGATTATGTCAAACTCAGTCCAACCCATATATATCCCAAAAAAGTTAATAACAAGTGAATGGAAAATCTATTACATTAAGAAAAACTTTTTGGATATATAAAAATTATATGCTATCATTAAAAAAAAATTGAGATGACTTTTATTCTTGACCTTTACCTTATTTTAAAAATGAGTAAAAAGAATTTGAAAAGATCCTCTATAATATCAATGATGAAAACTTAAATAATATTTATGTGATATCTTTTTTTCTATGAAAATAATCTCTATGTAGTAAAATCAATGTATGAAAATGTTTGCATCTAATTTTTCTTTTTATAGTTTTAGTGAGATAAACCTTGAACTCTTTGTGCGCAGTTGAATTTTTTTTTCTCCCCAACACAACGTAACAATAGATATCAATTTATTTGTGTTCTATGGTTGCATCATTGAAGGAGATTACTTCTAACTTCAAAAAGTTATAAAATTTAAACCGTGACAATTTCATTCGTTTGCAAAGGAAATGCAATTTCTAAGGTTGTGTATGTGTTAAATAAATGCAATTTATCCACACAATTTTGAAGGTTGTGTATGTGTCAAATAAATTCTTGAAGGTCAATAGACAAAAGAGTAAAGACAAAAGTGTGTAATTATCGATTACATATGCAATCAGATGTAAATTTGAAATTCAATATCCATCCGAGTGAAAGTCGATAAAGGATCGTATGGAACATATAACACATTCTTAATAATTATAACGAGTCTAGTGATGTCAGCTCAGTTGGTAGCCATACAGACACATTAAATGCAAATGCACAAGTTTGAACCGGCACGACATCCCACTTATTCAATTGAAGACACTATTTATCAATTGCAAAAAAGATTGAACAAGAAAAAGATAATGATTTCACAGAGAATTTCTAGAGCATGTGTACCACACTAAGGTTTAAGTCAGACTCGCCTCCACTAATCTATGACTATTGGATGCGAATGGAATAACAATGAATCCATTCGGGTTTCTTTATAAACCAAGTGAATTACACATTCACACCAAACCTATTTTCAATAGTATTTTACAGAAAAAAGTTTCCTTCACTCACTCTCGCAGTGCATCTAAAACATTGATTATAGCAAAAGCTCCACCAAACTATTTTCATCTGTGACTCCATTTTACTTGCAAATGAGCAAATTCAGATGAGGAAAGAAACCAACAACAACCAAGCCTTATCAGTTGAGGAAAGAGACCATGGTACAAAAAATCGTTGGCCCAATCCTCAACTCCAAAAGTACGCTGCTTTAAACAAAATCAGAACTAAAACCTGTTAAGGCTTTTTCATCACAGCATATCCAGTGTCTTCAACTTCCTGCAGCAAAACAAACCTAGTTATTAACATTGTCAAAGTCTGTAAGAAAATAAGCAATCACATTAACAAGTAGAGACCTTTCGCCTTTTATTTTTCTTCTTTTGTTTCTTCTTCTTTCTCTTCTTCTTGCTTTCCTTCACAACAAGGAGATCATTCTGTTCCTCTTCACTAGCATCTGTGTCGCCAAAGGATTCCACATGCCGAACATTTCTTCCGGAATTTGAAGTACCACCTAAAATTGAAGAGAATCACAAATTAAACACTAGATGACTATCCCAAAAATTCAATTGAAGAGAGACACAAAATATTAATTTAATGGCTATAAGCCTATAATTGATTAATGTTATGGTTAAAGAAACTTAAAGATCCAGATATAATATGACAGAAAAGCTTATGTCTAACATTGTTACAAGCAAAAAGAGAGGATGTGCAAACGTTGTGGCCTTAATGAGGCTCTAAAAGATGGTGTGTGTGAGTGGCCGTGAATTTTGTTGACATCGGGTTTCCGGCAATTGCACAGTAAGTCACAATTTTTCTATAATATGGTCAACGGATCAGGCCTTGGACAGTTCCAAACATTCTATAAATCAAAGAATAGAAAGAAGGGTACACATTTTAAAAAGAAACTAGGTGTCATCCAGAATAACATGATTATGATTATCCTAAAGCCATTTGTACCAATTTACGAGAGAAGAGGGCATACATGTAAACTAACACTAACAAAATAAAATAAAAGGTATAAAACTGACACGAATATGGTAATGGATAAATGTATACATGCACGACAACGCAAGCGCGCAAACAAATGTACAAGTGCTACCCAAGACACGAGATAGTATACATCTATTAAAATTTCCTCACCTAATACTACCAACAACCAAGCAAGCAAACTCAACCATGAAACCAGAAAAATCACATTCACTATTGTAGCTACCATGTCTTGCCCACAATCCTACTGTCCACTAGCGGGGGAAGGGGGCATTTAAAACCAGAGCAAGACTGTATCCCAACAGAGAGATTGTTTGCACCTAGCGGAATTCAAACTTGAGACCTTGAAAGGAACATACTCTCAGGTCTCAAGCCTTCATCAACAGGCCAACCTCCGGAGGTTTATATCTCTATATGTCAAGAAAAGACTTGTTACAGACAATCACAATGCATTTTTACTAAACAAGGCCAAAAGTCAAGGCTACAAATATGCATCAAATTATCACAAGCCAAGCCAAACCCATAATTCCAACTAAAATCACCAAAAAAGAAGACTTCATTTCATATAAATAATTGCAGTAACTAAGTCTTAAACCAATCACCAAATCAATTGATAATGAAATAAAATAGCATATAATAAAGAAAAGACAAAAAAAACAAAGAGAAATGAAATATTTACTTGTATAAACAGTTTGTTTGGCATTATTAACAGCAAGTTCAAGAAGATCAGGGTTTATAGATGCCAATCCATTAGGATCCTTCAACTTCCTCTCCAAAAACTTAGCCAATGCCGCTGCTTTATTTGTGGCAACAGGTCCACCGGGATGAGCCAATCTGTTCCATGAATCAAAAATTCAAATCATGCCCACTAAAATTAGAGGGGTTAAAACGAAAACTGTGAATTCAAAATAAAAAATTTCAAACCAATGAGTTGGATTAGTTATGGATTGTAAAATTGAAGAGGGAAACCGTAAAAAAAAGAAAGAAGAACCTAGGTTTGGGCTTGTTGGAGTGAGGAAGGGAGGGAAGAGGAGCGAATTTGCTTCCGCGAAGTGCGCGTCTTTCATCCTCTGTGAGAGTTTCGATCTCTTTCGCCATTTTCGAATTTTGGGATATTTTTCCCTTTGTGCCTGATTTTTTTTTCTCAAATTGTAACCGGTCTTTTTAACTTTCAAATTTAACTTATTTATAGCATCAAAGAATAGTTTAATTGGGTACGCATAAATAAATTCTTTTTCTTTAATCAGGCAAAAGTATATCTTCAGTAATTTAAGTTATTTTATAGTTTTTTTTTTTTACAAATTAACCTTTTATATTAGTTAACGTGTTTATCACTGATATTTTTAATAAACTTTGTTTCAAAAACACTTATGTGATAATAACAACTCTAATATATTATTTAAGAATGTTGAATAGGCATTTGACATATTTTAGAATATTTAATACTGTATAATCTCAAAATTGGGTTAAACAACTCTAATTTAGGTGACTGAGATAGAAGTTGAGGTACGCAGTTGAGGTACGTTTCATGAAGCTACTTTTCCTCCTTTGTGAATATACGTTTCGTGAAGTTACTAGAAGGAAAAACACTTGGAGACGAAATCAATGAAGGTGAAGAAACCGTGAAGCTGAGGTACGTTTCGTTATACCTAAAGTCATTTTATGATTAGTTTTTGAAAACGAAACTCTCCATCAATCTTGCATGTTAGATTTAAGGTTGATGTAATTGTGGGTTTATTGTTGATATCATTAATGGTAGTGTTCATTTTAGAGTTTATTGCTTATTTGCTTGTTGGGACTGTATGTTGTTGATGTAAACAAGTCAAAATGGTTATGAATGAATTTTATGTTGACTTTCATCACGGAGGATATTTCGTTGATGACAAATATGTAGGAGGTGAAGTGTCAAACTGGAAGTGTGATGGTGATAGATGGAGTTACTTTGAAATTTTGGGAGTTGTTAAAAAGATGAAGTATCCAGGAGTTCTTGAGATTTGGTATGACATTGCTAGAATATTGAAGGCGCTAGAAGATAACTTTGGTGCAATAGAAGCACTGAACTGGTTCAAGACTAATGAAAAAGTTAACATATAATAGTCCACCCTATTGAATCACCTGATTTAGTAGTTGCCCTACCCGATAACTCCAATCCTCAACCTGCGGATGATTGTAATGCACAACCTGGGGATGTTTCTAATGCCCAACTTGATTTAGTTTTCAATGACCAACATGAAGATGTTTCTAGTGAACAACCTGATTCCCAACCTGAGGATGTTTCTAATGAACAACCTGATGCCCAACTGTTTACCGTGTTTTTTGGTAAACAACCACTGGTCTATCAATTTGGTGTCAAATTGACTAACTTGCAGGATTGACCATACGAAATCCTAGGATATGTGCTAAAGGGTATTTCTATTTGAACCTATCTAAAAATGTGTTTCAACAATACTAAGAAGAAATAATTTAAAAGGGGCAGAAATTATCCACTATGTTTAAAAGAAAGAAGGAAGAAGAATTACAAGAGGGAAAAGAGATAAAGGTTTTTTGGGAGAGAAAGACTTAATCGAAGTGGTAATGATGAACAAAAGGAAAGACGAAATAAATAAGTAAAAGTACTTGACAAAAGTAAAGAAAACAAAGTAACTTCATTGAAAAGATAAAGGATGGCGTGTTTACATCACGTACATTCTCTATAATACTCTCTTTCTCTACACTCGGATACTTGGAGTAATTTTATGAGTGACTTGTACAACAGTAAATTACAACACACTAAGTTTATGTCTAAGACTCCTATTTATAACAATAATAGTAACTGTTAATAACCGCTAATAACCTCCTTAGGCCATCTATTCCTGACAAGTGTCAGGCCGCATGCAGTCCTTTATCCGATGAGAGCCACTTGTCCTTCTTAGTCATAAGAAAATATAACTACTCCCTCCAATATTCGAATTTCAAAACTCAATTCGTCCCCCCTTCTAAATCTCGGTCGAAGATACCATTTCGCTGTTTAAGTCGAAGTGTATAATTTCAAGACTTCAATTTTTCTAAGTCCTTGGAAGACTTGTATGTCTTTTAACAAGTTGAAAATAGCCTCCAAACATGGGTCGTCGAATTGGAGAGCTAACAAATTGCCCCCCAAAAATGTAGTTTTCGACACTACAAAAAGTACATTTTTTGACAGCATCCAAATTCGACGCCGTTTACCCTCGACTATATCCTGATCGTTGACCCACTTTCAACTGCTTCGAGTTTAGGAAACTGAAAGGTGATGGGAGAGGACATATCCACAATCTCACGCAAAAAAGAACTGTTACGCCACCTTGATGCACGATCTCTGACGTCATGAACATCATGGCAAATTTCTCGGAAATCACCAAAATCGTGAGTCATCATTACCCCTACAGAGCATAGGTTACAACCGCCACCTCTACTAACTCATCCTGAGTACACACGTGGCCCACTAACCCCAGCCACTTATAAAAACTCTTGAATTTCCTCTTTTCACTTATAAATAATTTTCAAAACGTCTTTTTTTTTTCACTTTCACTTCTTCAATCTTTTTATAACATTGCCTCACATTTTCTTCCCACCATCTTTTCTTCCAAGAATACTCCTCCAACTCTCATCATGGATGAGCTAAGATCCCAGAAATAAAAAACCCAGTCTCACAAACAAACCTCTTCTTCCGTCCTTCCCCCTTTTGCTGCTCTGAGTGGCCCGAAGGTGGTGAAGAATCAGTAACTCGTGCGAGAGCCTTTACTGGAGGAGAAACGCCATATCTACGAATCCCAGGTAATCATACCCGTTACTGTCGCGGATAAACCGTTAGCCATGTCCGGGCCTCTATCCCTCTCATGTTTAAACTATTCCAATTTGAATGAGTTTTTTCCTTCTTACCGAAAAACCAAACCCCTAGGGCAAAAAGACTCCCAAAAGGTTCCCTTGGATAATCCAGATAGCTTAGATGTTTATAATGTGGATCTCAAGTATCTCCACGATGGCGCAAGATTATTTAGGGCTACGCCATATTTCAAGGATTCTGAACTCTACCTCAACTCGTTGAAGAAGGTAGAAAAGGCAAAAACTCAAGACTGGAAAGACATGGGCATCTACGACCTTATTATGATGTCAAAAGTAGGTTCCAACTACTGCCCTCTGATGTTGGCTGCGTCTTTGTTCTTTTGGGACATCACGCATTATACTTTTCATCTTCCATGTGGGATGATGACGCCTACTTTGTTCGATATTGCTGCTATTGTAGGACTGAAACCTCATGGACTGGCTTACGACCCTGAAGTTGATAGCCAAGACACTATCGGTTTCTCAACCATCAAACATACTTATACCCATTTCATCAATCATTATCATGATAAAAATAATGTCGCGGTTAAAGACGAGGAACATATAGCCTTTTTGGCCATGTGGTTGTCTCGTTGCATTTTCTGTACTAAATCCTTGCAGGTGGCGCGAAAATACTTAACACTGGTGAACCAGCTGCATGCCAAGAGAAAAATATATTTGAGCGAAATGATCCTTGCAAGTCTATACGAAGCCTTAAGTGAAAGTGCCGGCAAACTGAAGGACCCTGAGAATAACGACAACTTAGTAATGTCGGGGCCGTTTTGGTTACTCCAATTGTGGTTAAACGCCACTTTTGAAGGCAGCCTACCAAATAAGGGTGAAGTTGATGAAGGTTCTCCTTCGATCTCTGGAAGACAAGTCGAATGGCCCCGCTTAGTTCAGCTTACCCCCAGCGAAGAAGGGCAAACACTTCGAGCCAACCTCTCAGGATTCGTCCAGATGTTCGCGAAGCGCCATGTCTTCACACCTGGGATGGCTCCCTTCGCAGAACGGAAACATGGCCCTGAATGGTTCATTAGGCCTTTCCCAGCTTTGCTCAAGAGACAGGAAGAGGAATCGAAGCTGATTTGGGAGCGATTCCTTACGCCTCGACTATTTTTCCACAGACTCAATCTGACAAGAGGGCAAGCTTCCCTGATAGCTTATCAACCAAATCTTGTGTCGAGACAGTTTGGACTTATCCAAACCCTACCTAGGTGTTTATACGAGAAAAAGTCTCACATTCTGTTTCCACACCACATCGTTAACCCCCTCGAATGTTCGACCCAATTGGCGCGTCATGCCCATAAATCCTTACTTACCCCACTTTATTTTGAGCCCTCTTATTTCTGTTCCCCATAATTTTATAACTGGTGGTCCAGACATTATTCTTCTGAATTTCTTGACGCTGCCAGTCTTACTCGAATGATTGATCAAGCTTTCATTGATGTGCAGGAAAAAACCAAGAAAGGCAGGTCCACTCATATAAAGGAGATACAAGCCTTCCAAAAATATTTTGAAACTGCTTATCGACCGGATGATATTAGTCGAACCATCCGCGAGGCTGCTGTCACTTTGAGGGAAAAATTTCTAAAAAAGATGGAGAATTTAAAAATTCCTTCATCCATCCCCCGTGAGAAACGGTATGAGATGGCTTTCAAATTATTTCCCCCTAAGATTCCTCGATTGCCATCTGCTGATTTTGGAGTGGCCCTTGCCCCTCCATTCCCAGATTGGTTCATCTGTGAGGATCCTATAAAAATCCTCAGACAGCAGTCGAAGCCTAAAGCACAGCGGGTGGTTCCGACTAAGCATACCGTCAATACTTTCAAAGGGCACCTTCATATTAATATCGAAGACGTTCGCATCGAATCCGACATTCTCGAAGGTCGATTCTTCTTCGTTTTAAACCCCTTAAACAACGCTTTATCATTACTAACGGATGGCGCTGTCATTTGTCTTTTGCAGCTGCTCCAAAAAAGACTGCCATCTCGGTGAAGACTGAAAGTTTCATCGAGGGTCAGAAGGTAATATTAATGCACCATCTTAATCCTTTCAACATTCCGGGTTAAAAAACCTAACACTTTCCCAATGCTTTTTTAGGTAAGCTGGAAACCCCCTACTCCTCAGAAAAAAATAAAGAGGGGGCGCCAACCTAGTCATCGTCGACTCAGAAGACGAAGGTGGTTCTCCTCGAGAGGAGGTTCCAATGAAAAGGCGGTGAAAGGTTGTCTGCGGTCTCGACGCCACTGACTCAG